CAAGGAACCAAGAGAACCCAATAGTGGCAGATCAAAATTAACTTTGCATTGGGCAGACCAACTGCATAATTTTATTAAACAGCTTTGAGTAAAAAAGTGAAATCCTTCATTGTGTTTTCTCAGAAACTAACCAAAAGATTAGAGTCTTACACAATTTAGAGACACAAAGTGGATGCTGAGTGGCGAGAGGTCACCCCAGGCATGGAATCGTAGTAAGTGAAGTCCTTGGAGTAAATGGCACCATGGCTCTGGCAGCAGATACAAAGGAAGGATGCTCTGGAGAGTAGGTAGGGGACGCTCTGCGATCAGCCAGTGGACAGAGGAGAGTCCCAGTTTGAGGTGGGATCTTTAACACTAAGGTTTATCTTCTACTGCTCATGCCTCTGTCTTCATAAATGGTAATTTCAATAACTCAAAGTCCTCTCTCAATGGGATCTGTCAGAAGGAGGCCTTGGGGAGCATATATCTTCTCATTCTGCTCTTGAATGTATTTGGAGACTTTCTTCAGAACCTTCTCATAATGCGTTTCCATGCATAAAAAGATGGTGTATGCTGTTAAACAAGCCAAACAGCCTTCAAGATATGACTGGCCCCCAAGCTTTTTTGCTTCTGCATAAAGGTTATTTAGAGTTCGAATGGTTTCTTCAAACTGTTGCCTATCAATCCGGTTCTCCAACTCCGCGGGGAATTTGGTCTGGAACTGGCAGCATATCCCGCTGCTGTAGTCTCGCTGAATGAAGACCTTCCTGGACACCGGCGCCTGCTGCGGCCTCATGGCGAGGACAGGATGGGCCGTGCCATGCTGTCACGACAGGCCTTTTGCTACCGCCCTGCCCAGGCCCCACGCCCCCCACTCATGAGCTTTTAAGAACCCAGACTCTGCTCACCAAAGTAGGATGTGAAATATTGTCTTTGTGGACTATGTTGTGCTAATTGACCATGGTGTCCCCTGAGACTATAGAGAGGCCTTGCATCTCATTGTCTTAAGATGTTTGATAATATCTAACAAGTTTCCATCATTTTGTCCACTGTATGCTCCACAGCATACACAGTTGTGTTTGTACCTATGTACAAATATTCTCTTTCAAACTCATATGTGTGGCTGTTTTAAGTACTGTGGCAGTATAGTAAAATTTGAGCTTAGAAAGTGAGAGGTCTCAACTTTGTGCTTATTAAGTAAAGCTTCGCTTATCCAGGGTCTCTTTCCTTTCCATAGAAAGTGAGTGATCAGTTTTTCCAACTCTTTACAGAATGATGTGGTTGTGTTATATCTATATAGATTGATTTGGGTAGTATTGACATTTTCGTAGTGTTAATTCTTCCTGTACATGAGTTTGATACAGTCTTCCATTTTTGTAAGTCTGTTGATTTCTTGTAGTACTGTTTTGCAGTTTTCTTTGTACAGGTCTTTTGTTTCTCTGGTTAGATTTATTCCTAAGAATTGCATTTTTGGGGTGGCTATTGTAAATGGTGTTGTTTTCCTATTTAGAATTGTCTTTGTTAGTATATAGTAGTCCAACTGATTTTGTTTACTGATCTTGCTTGTACCTTCCACTTTGCTAAATCTTTCAAGAAGTTCCAATAATTTTCTTGCTGAATCTTTGGGGTTTTCTATTTGTAGGATCATATCATCTGCAATTAGGGTTTTACTTCTTTTTTGTGAATTTAATAGCCCTTTCTTGCCTTATAGCTCGGACTAAGACTTCCAACACAATACTGAATAGAAGTGGTGATAAAGGGCATCCTTGTCTGTTTCCTGTTGGCAAAGGGAATGCTTTCACTTTCTCTCCATTGAGATTTGAATCTGTTGGATTTGAATATATGCTTTTAATTATGTTGAGGAATTTCCCTTTAATCCCTACTTTGTTGTGAGTTTTTGTCAGGAATAGATGTTAGATTTTGTCAAATGCCTTTTCTGCATCAGTCATTGTGATCATGTGATTCTTTTCCTTTGTTTTATTTATATGGTGGATTACATTGATTGTTTTTCTAATATTGAACCATCCTTGTATCCCTGGAATGAATTGCACTTAGTCATGATGCTTTTGTGGGATTTTTTTTGATACATTACTGAATTATATTGGCTATGATTTTGTTGAGAATTTTTGCATCTATGCTCATGAGGGTTATTAGTCTATAACTTTTTCATTGATGTCTCTACCTGATTTTGCTATGAGGGTTATGCTTGCTTCATAAAATGTGTTCGGGAGTTTTCCATCCTTTTCTGTGTTCTGGAATGGTTTGAGTAAAATTGGTATCAGCTCTTGTATGAATGTTATGTAGAATTCTCCAGTAATGCCATTTGGACCCAGACTTTTTGTTGTTGAGAGGTTTTTAATTACCTGATCCGTTTTCTTCTTCTGTTACATATGTCTGTTTAGGTTTTCATGGTTATCTAAAATTTTACTCTTTTTTCCTATATTTTCAAATTCATTGGATACAATTCTGCTTTCCTTTTTATTTCTGTTGGTTGTCTTTTAGTGTCACCATAGCATTTCTTATGTGGTATTTGCATCTTCTTCTTTTGTTAGAGTTTCCAAAGGTTTGTCAATCCTTTCAAAGAACTAACTTCATGTCTTGTTTCTTTCAATTGTTTTTCTGTTTTCTAATTCATTTATTTCTACTCTAATGGTGTGGTGCTGTAGGACAAGCACTGGACTGCAAGGTCGGTTTGAGCCACAAGGTCAGTGGTTCAAGCTCACCAGCCGCTCCTCAGAAACCCTATACAGGGTTGCTATGAATTGGAAGTGACTCAATAGCACTTAACAACAGCAATCTTTATTGCCTCTTTTCTGGGTTAATTTAACTCTCAAAACCCTGAAAATCACTCATTTTAACATGACCTCATTAAATTGTGATCATATTTTAATTCAAGATGAAATGTAATAAAGTTCTAGTTATACTAGTATAGTTTCTTTGGAAATGAAAGACATGCTTGACAAACTTTATACCTTAATCTTCAATAAACAGTCTCTTTACATTTGAAAGTGGCTGTATTGGAGTCCTAGTGTGTCGCTGTTGGATAAGCACTGCTCTGCTGATCTCAAGGTCAACAGTTCAAACCTACCAGCCATTCTTATGAAACCTTATACAGGATCACTCTGAGTCAAAACTGAGTGGATGGCACTTAACATTGTTATTATAGTCTCTCAACATTTTATTTGTCTCTCAGTAGAACTTGTATTTCCTTTCTTCCAATTCCCGCGTTCTTCTTTTACAGGGAAACCGTGATGAGAACCAGAATGTAAACCATCAGATGGCTCAGGAAGATGCTCAGCGTCTCTTTCAGGCTGGCGAAGGGAGACTAGGGACAGATGAATCCTGCTTTAACATGGTTCTTGCCACAAGAAGCTTTCCTCAGCTGAAAGCTACCATGGAGGCTTATTCCAGGGTATGAACTTCTCTTGAAGATTTGACTTTGATTTGAAGATGTGAAAATATTTTAATCCTTATTCTTTTTATTGCAGATGGCTAATCGAGATTTGGTCAGTAGTGTTTGCCGGGAGTTTTCTGGAAACGTCGAAAGTGGTTTGAAAGCCATCTGTGAGATACTTTTATGCTTTGCTTTGGGTTGTTTTTAAATGAGTGGGGCTTTTGAATAGTTGTACCCGTTGTTGTTGTTAAGTGTCTCTGAGTTGATTACAACTCATCAACACTGTATAGGGTTTCTGGGGCTTTAAATCTTTGCAGAGCAGAAAGTCCTCTTTCGGTGATGATAATTATCATAGCTTTCCTGGAATCCCCTTAGACTGAAGCTGAGCTCATTTCTTTAGATGCAATTCCCTATGAATGGCTGATGGTGTGGTCAAATAGGGCACTTTTGAGTTACTTGGCCTTTATTCTGCCCTTCTTGAGGACCATGGAAAAACATGGTACAGAATGCTCCTCTTCCTTGAAGAAGGGAATGGAGGAGCCCAAAGAACCACAAGCTCCACCATAGAGAGTTTCCCTGAGCTCAAAAACTACCTGTCATATACTCATCCCAGTGAAACCCTTTTCCTTTTGAAATTACAAAAAATTTTGTTGTCTTAATAGATGCCTAATGGATTGGAAATTTCATTTTTTTTTGGATAATATTGAACTAAGGAGAGTGGTAATAAGAACAGAATGTCTTAAAATGATGTAAAATTAGTATGTCTCTATCATCTGAAGGAAGAAACTTTGCTTAAGTATATTTTCCTGTATAAGAAATTTTACCAGATGCTTGAACATCATTTTCAAATCTTTGCTCAAATCTTTACTTTTTCTTTTAGAGTGTGTATCTCATATTCATCTTTTACCAAATACATACTTCTAAAATTCAGGTGTCTGTCAGTATTCCTCTTAAATAGGATATTAACTGGAGCACCGTTGCTATGATTCTCTCCTTTAAGTGAAAATATAAAGAATCTAAGTCACCACAATTATGGAGAGTGGGATTTATTAGCCAAAAAGAATCTTCTAGAATTGAAGGTAGTTTGTCTGATACAGCTAAAAAGAATAGGGGCTGAGAAAAATCAAGGTGGAGAACATTTCCAGCTCATCTCAGATTTCTGACTTGATTGCACAGAAAATAAGCATAGCAGGCCAGAAGTGATGAGTGAAGTTGGGGGTAGCTTCGCCGATTTTGACTGTGTCTGAAACACTTCTCACTTGCAGTGCAGTGTGCCCTGAGCCGCCCTGCCTTCTTTGCTGAGAGGCTTTACGCCTCGATGAAAGGTGCTGGTACAGATGACTCTACCCTGGTTAGGATCGTGGTCACTCGAAGTGAGGTGAGCCTTTCCTCTTACCTGCTCTTGGTTTTTGGTGGTGATTGCTTAAGCATTCCTCAGCTGGTTGCCAATCTCTGAGGAGATGTTGAGAAAGAGCTCTCTTTGTCCATGCTGACAGAGACTAAGAGCCCAGTATTCACTTTCTCCATGCTGTGATCAAGGCTTGTATCAGTGAAACACACAACTGTGCTGCAAGGAAGAGAATACCGAGAGATTTTTCTACTTGAGAAGTTCTGTGGTGAATACTGGTTTATGGGAGGTGGAAGACGCTGATCTTTTGATTTTCATTTTCCTTATAAAATGTAAAAAGTTGTGTGAAAGACTTAGGCATAGTCATCTAACTGGATATCAAAGACTTGAAATATAGCATCTTTTGTCAGTTATAAATCAGTTGAATATTTTTACTTGTGACCTCCCTACCTAAAATTAGCCAAATGTTTTTTAAATGACTTACTATTTTTAAATAATAAATGAAGCTGGTATGATGTTTCAGCCAGTATTTTTAGAGAGCAGTGAATCAGACTTTCATTGGGCAATTGGTAGGAATGCTCCTTATAAAATGGTTCTTGCTGTGATTATAATTAGGATTCTTTCACTATTAAATAATAATTGTCATAATTACTGATTTTCTTTGTGGTTCCTTTTATCTAACATCAGAAATCTCATTTTTTATGCAGATTGACCTTGTACAAATAAAACAAATGTTCAATCAGCTGTATCAGAAGACCCTGGGCACAACGATTGCAAGTGACACCAGTGGAGATTACCGGAAGTTGCTTCTGGCCATTGTGGGCCAGTAGGAGAGATTGTTGTATGAATGGATTTTCTATCCAGAGCTTAGCCTTCAAAACAGTGACTGGCTGCATGTAACCACATCAACCGTTACCTAACCAAAAGAGCTTTTTACCGAGGACTGTGTCAGGGTAATGTGCTGGATTCGCACATGTTGTTATTGCCTTAATTCTGACATTTTTTTTCTCCATATACAATCAGTGTAAAGCCATATCACAATGCTGTAGTAATAATGCATTGTTTGTAAAGCATAATTCTCACTGCTTTAATTCTAGTCAAGGTATCAAATTGAATAAAAATCACAATCATCTCTAAATCTGTGTGATAATTTTGTATAAAAAAAAGGGCTGCTGAAAACTGCTTGTCATAATCACTAGGTCCATTGAAGTTAGTTAGTAGTATGTCAAAACTGTGTTTCTTCTCAAATTCAGCTCTTGACCCAGAAAAGTAATTTATATTTCCTTTTGCATAAACTGGTATTCTAAATTCATAAACTCTTCTTTCCACAGAAAAAACAGATTAGTGTTATCTCTTGTTTGTGGTTAAGTGCTGTCGAGGCAGTTCCAACTCATACCAACCCTGTATAGGGTTTCCTAGGAGTGGCTGGTGGGTTTGAACCTCCGACCTTGTGGCTAGCAGTCCTTGGGGTATCCTACAGTGCCATACTAGGAATCTAGTGTTACCTGTAGCAACTTTAAAAGGGATTAATATGTTTATAGAATAAATTACATAGACTACTTTTATTTCTACTAATTTTTTTATCTGTAAAGATCTCTATTGTGTTGTTAAGTGCTGACGAGTCGGTTCCGACTCATAGTGACCCTGTATAGAGTTTCTGAGGAGAGGCTGGTGGGTTTGAACCACCAACCTTTTGGTTAGCAGTTCAGTGCTATCTTAGTGGACTTATCGCCACACCAGGAATCCACAACAGGCTAAGATTGATGTAATTAATTCTTTTATTTAAAAGTTTCATTTTAAAAAGTTAAACTTTGATCTGGGGTTGAAAATGTAAATTATAAAGTGGTGAAATTGATAAAGACTCAAGGAAACAATTAATCCAAAGGACTAATGAATCATGAGAACCACGGCCTTCATGACCCGGAGACTCGAAGATGGTGCCAGAGCAGTAACACTAGCAGCCACAATGATCGAGAACAAAGAAGGTCCCGAACTGAATGCAGAAAATTCAAAATCATAAAAGACAGACCAGACTTACTGAGTCTGGCCCTTAGACACCCATCAAACCTGAACTGAGCTCCCCCTGTGAATCCCCTTGCAACCAACAACAGACAGGCGGGAAAGTAAACTGTAACACTTGTGAGGCACCTGCTCCTCAACCGTGGGAAAACAAAGGAATTTGCTCCACAACGAAGCTCTGAAGGCAAGCATGAATGGATACTGGGAACCCAGGGAGGAAGTGGGAAGAGCGCTGTTACATTGAGGGAATTGAAACTAATGCTACAAAACAAAGTATGTGTAAACGGTTGAAAACAAATTTGCTCTATAAACTTCTACCCAAACCACTATTAAAAAAAAAAAATTGTCTATAAAAAAAATTTTTTTTTAAGTGATGGGATTCAATAAAGAAGAGGTAGAAAAGGAAAGACATGAACAATGCATATTTTAACTTTTTAGAAAATTTGAGATAATTAACAGACCATAAGGTTTCCTCTTTCAAATTTCATGGCTTTTAATGTATAAAGTTCTGCAAGTGTCACCAGTCATTTTCAGAACGTTTTTTCATCACCCCCAAAAGAAACCTCACAGCCAATAGCAGTTGCCGGAATAATTTCATTCAAAAAGATCACAAGACTGGTTTCTACCTAATGGAGGCTAAAGACATCTCAAGTGTCCAACTTTCCCAACATGTTAACGTTGTTGTTAAGTGCCGTCGAGTTGATTCTGACCCATAGTGACCTTGTATAGGGTTTCCAAGGAGCAGCTGGTGAGCTTGAACCACCAACCCTGTGGTTCAAACGACTTTGCAGTCTGACGCATTAGCCATACCAGGACTCCAACATGTTACAGCGCTCCATAATTCTTCATATCAGTGACCATTCCTCCCCTCCTTCACATCCCAGGGTTCTGCAACACACTGCACTGTCTCAGAACTCACAACTGCCAAGGGAAATGGCTCATGCAATTGTTGAGGCTGGCAAGTACCAAATCAGAGACCAATCTGGAGGAATCTTTTCACTCACATAGTCAGGAATTGAGACTCAAATCAGCAGGTCAGATGACAGGTTGCAGGTGGCTGAGGGAGCATGTAAATTAGGTCAGGTGATGGACCCACAGTATAAAGAACTGGAGGTCAGACATAATGAGCCAGATGCAAGATCCAGGGCAAGAGAGAGAGCTTTGCCAAAACAATGCTGGAAATTGAAGTCAGACCATGCCCAAGGGAAACTAAGGGTGGTGGTGGTGACCACATCCTCTAGTAAAGTGGAGGCATCCTTATCCTGCCTCATTAACAGCTCACTTCACAATGGTTTTACAACCACAGGCATAGAGCTGAGGATTTATAGTACATCACAGAGCACAGAAAGCTGACTAGAAGAGCTTTAATAAGTAATTAGCTGCCCTGTAGCAGCTATTCTCCATTACCTCCTCTCTCCACCAATGATTTACTTTCTGGCAACCATTATCTACTTTCTGTCTCTGAATTTGCCTTTACATATAGGTGAAAACATACAGTTTATAGCCCTTTGTGTTTGAGGTCTTCCAATTAGCATGTTTTCAACATTTCATCCACATTGCAGCATGTCTCAATTCTTTTTAGGCTGAAAATATTGCATTGTATACATGGGGGTCTGCAAACAGTACATGGACAAATGGAATTAAAAGATGAGAATATCCTATTAACTCTTTGAAGCCCCCTGGTGTTGATCATCTGTTGATTGACATTTGGGTTGTTTCCGCTTTGGGATTATTATGAATAATGCTAGTATGAACATTTGTGTATAATTTTAGCGTGGACATAACATTTTCAATTTGGGTACACACCTTGGACAGCTGTTTAACTTTTTAAAGAACTAAAGTGTTTTCACAAAGTAGCTGGCACCATTTTATAACCACACCAGTAATGAAGGAGGACTCCAATTTCTCCTCTCATCACTAACATTAAATGTTTTTCTTTTTTATTGTAGCCTTCTTGGTGAGTGTAAATTATCTCACAGTGGTTTGACTTGCATTTTCCTTAATTACTAATGAAAGTCCTTAGGTGGTACAATGACTGCTTAGCAGCTAACCAAAGATTGGCTGTTCTAGTACACCCGTATTGTTATGTGCTGTGAGTCGATCCGACTCATAGGGACCCTGTAGAGGGTTTCCGAGGCTTTTACATCTCGGATACAGAAAGCCTTATCTCTAAATCTGATTTTTGCACTCTCACAAGCAGTGCGCGCGCGTGAGTCTCAGTCTTAAACTTGCATTTTTCACAGAAAGCTGGACTTGGCCACATGACCAAAAGGCTACTGTTGTTGTTGTTGTTAGGTGCCGCCGAGCGGGTTCCGCCTCACAGTAGCTTGTGGGTTTGAACTGCAGACTTTATGGTTTGCAGCCCAGCGCTGATCCTACAAGCGCCACACCCGCAGGGACCCAGGTAGTTTGCACGCCGGTTGCGAAACGCAGGCGCAGAAACTCACCCACGACCAGCTTTCCGCGTTGCTCATACTCGACGGCACTTAACAACAACAACAACAACAACAACATAACAGGTGCTATCGCGAAACTTGGATTAAACGTGCGGTGTTTACAGAAAATAAGTTCTCGCGAGATGTAATTGGTTGCTATAGTAGCAAAAAACACTTTTGCGGCTGCCTCAGGTAAGACGCGGTTACTCCGAAAACCCGCTCCTCCCGGCTTACTCTTCTGGCCCAGTTTCCACACTCTCCGTATTCCAAATTTCTGCTCCTTCACATGGTGTCAGGCTGAAAGTCTAATATCTCCTCCCACACGGCTCCGCTCCGGTTCGGCCCTAAATGCCGCGGACGCCGACATGCTAGCCAACCGTAACCCTCCCACTCGGAGACGGAAACCCAGCTTCCTCGTGTCCATAGAGATCCGTGGCTCGTTATAACGCACGCTAGACCTCGACACATCGCCTTTTCCTTTAACCTGTTTATAGTGTGACTCTTCTCTTCTGCTTCTTCTGAGCAGATGACAGTTTCCTGCATTCATTTGTACAAATAAACTGAATGCTTTTTTTTACAAAAGGGATGAAACCAGGCACTTAGGGACAGTAAAGATAAGACAGGTTTCTTTTTGTCAATTTTATTAATTGAGCACGTTGCGAAAGCGTTACTTAATAATATCATTTATGTGGTGCTTCCTGCAATCATTTTACTGTTAAAGGATACAGCAAATCTGGAATAGGTCAGAAGTTACAATACCTATTTTGCATAAAGTGAAACAGGCTCAGAAAAGTTAGGTATTTGGGGACACAGTAAGTAGGAAGGGAAACAAGGTTTTTTTTTAAAATTTTTTATTGTGGTGTAAGTGAAGGTTTACAAAACAGATTCGTTTTAGATTCAGCAGTTTATACACAGATAGTTCCCCACAATGTGTCAGTAATCTGTTTCCACCTTAGATTCCCCGTTTATTTGCCCAGTGGAAACATGATCTTTTAAATCCCACAAGACAGCATATGGTCAGTGGCAGAAGAGAAAAATGCTAAAAGAATTCAAAGGAAGAGCAAATGTTTCTGTCATGGACTAGGCAGGGTAGGTAGGCTTCAGGGACTGAGAAACGTTTCTGCGTTTCTGCCGGATTGTAAAGGATTCGTAGAATTTGTCAAGATAATGAGAGAAGGGAGGGAGAGAGAATTCCTGAAGAAAGGAAAAATGCAAAAGCACAGAAGTCACTAAGTATGAGTTGTCTTTGAAAACTAAGGAAGCCAGAGAGCATAGGTCCTTAGGTAAGGGAAGAAGTTGATTGGCACAGTTAGATCCTAGAGGACCTTGGATGTCATGCAAATGTTTAACTTAATTTGGTTGGTTAAAGGGCCTAAGACAATGACATGAGGGTGTACTGGTGTGGCACTTTTTAGGATAATAAGCATTGGATTACTAACCATTAGGTTGGCAGTTCAAACCCACCAGCCACTCCTTGTAAAGCCTATACAGGGTTGCTATGACTTGGAACCGGCTCAAAGGAATTTAAACAACAGTATGAGGGTCAGTAAAAAATATGTGTATTCGGGTTCCAGATCATACGTATATGGGTATATTCCAACCAAGACATGTTGCCGTGTGTTTCTGTGCTCCATGGATGGCTGCAGACAAGTCCTCTGTTACATACTTGTTTTAGTCTTATTGCTGTTGTTTGCTGTCGAATCAGCTCTGACTCATAGTGTGTAGGGTTTATGAGAGTCGCTGGGTTTGGGGTTTGAACTGTTGAACTTGCAGTTATCAGTCCATTGCTTATCCTGTAGCGCCACACCAAGGTTATTAAATGCTCTCAAGTTGGTCCTGACTCAAGCTGTTGTTGTTAAGTGCTGTCGAGTTGGTTCCAACCCATAGCGACCCTGTATAGCGTTTCCGAGGAGCAGCTGGTGAGCTTGAACCGCCGACCTTGCAGTTCAAACGGCTTTGCAGTCTGGCACATTAACCCACAGCACCACACCAGGACATAGCAACCCTATATAAGGTTTCTGAGGCTGTAAATCTTTCTGGGAGCAGAAAACCTGATTGTGCTCCCATAGACAAACTGGTGGACTCCAATTGCTGATCTTGTGGTTCACAGTCCAGTGCTTATCCAACCAGCCACCACACTCCAACCACCAGGGTTAGGGTGCTTAAAAGGATATGTGCCAAAAGTGTTGTGCAAAGATGAGTTATCTCTAAGAGTTGATATTTCCATCAGATCAAAGTTAAAGAAGATGATTTCATGGAACAAACTGTAACTTGGTATGAGTCTTGGGTTTACCAGTATGATCCAGAGAGCCAGGGCCAATCAGAAAGTAACTTCATGGGGATCTGCTGAGCCAGTGGACTCAAGGCAGACACATCAGCTTAGATTTTGGCAGATATATTTTGGGACTCCAAAGGGGTAATCTTGATCCATTTTGTCAAAGGGCACAGGATAGTCACAGGAGCTTATTATGAGGAATATTTAGAAAACTGAAAGCTGTGATGAGAAAAAGGCCAGGAAAGTTGTGCTAAGGAAGATTTTTTCCTTACCACAGTATATCTGGTCATTCTTCAATGGTTGTTTAAGGACAGTCCTTTTTGGGTTTTTTTTTTTTTTTTGTATCTCAGTCTGACACACTCAGTTTAGTATGTCCAAATTAAATGTGTAAGTTAAGTTGCTAAATTCTACTTGGATTGAGTCAGAAAGCATGATTTTAAAACAACAAAAACATTATTTTTGAAATTGTTTATATCTTTAGTGTGGTAAAATAATTAGAAACGATCTCTAACTCAACAAGACCTATGTTGGGAACTTTTCCAGTGGACTGCACATTCTGTATAGCTGCTTGTTTCTTACTTTCAAATATTTTTTTGTAAAGCAGAGATTTTAATAACCCTTAAAGTTGTGATTGTGTGCCATCAAGTCGGTTCCAATTCATATCAACCCTGCATAGGGTTTTCAAGAGCGGCTGGTGAGTTAGTGCCTAGTCTACAGCACCACGCCAAGGTCTAATAAAAGTTTCAGAAAAAAATTTTTTTTAATTACCAAAGAACACCATGAAGGAAGTGGAAGGTGGAACATAGCAGATGAGAGGTAGACGACAGCATTCCTGTCTCCTTTTCAGAAGGTTTGTGCATATTGGGTAAGTTATATGTGCAAGCATCTTTTTAGGACTAACCCATGAAATCATCCGTATGAGCAGCTTCCTAAAGCACTGCTATCAGTCGGTGAAGGTTGGGGAGGGAGACTAAAACTGTGCTGGACCTATGGCATTTCCTAGGTTCTCTTTGGTATTGAGTATGATGCAATGTGGGGACTTGTGTTTATATGGTACATGAAGGAGCAGTTTTATTTATTCTCCTTACAGAGATCAAAGAAGACCAAAGGGGACTTTGCATAGTCTCTGTCATGGAGCAGATGTCCTCCACAGGCCGGCCTGTGCAGATCACTGTGACAGATGGATATGATTTGGTAACGTTAGTTTTGGAAATCCACAAGTCCTTTGTTTGCTTGTTCGTTTTGAAAGTGTGCTTGTCTGAGAGTTGAGATCTCGCCATCAAAATCTATCTCCCAGTGGCTAGAGAAAGGCTAGCTGGGCTCCCCAGTGGAAGGAGCAGGGTTCTTTCTGCGTCCTCATCGGTCAGGCCCCCTCGCTTTATATCCCACTGGGGCTTCCTCCTCAGCCATTCTTGTCAGTCTGTGATCAGAAAGCCACGTGACTGTCTGGAGCTCTTCCTAATAGTAAAACACTTAGCAGTTTGAATACCAAATTTAAAGAGCAGTTCATATATAATTTCATCTCCTCCACCCCCTGCCCCACTTCTCAGGAGTTGAAGTGTCCCGGAGTTTCTCTTACATTTGATGAATTTAATGAAATTATTGTATGATATAAGGCGTTCTGGTGGCATAGTGGATGGATTATGAGCTGGGCTGCTAACTGAAAGGTCAGCAGTTCAAATCTTCCAGCTGTTCTGCGGGAGAAAGATGAGGCTTTCAGTTCCCATAAAGCTTTATAGCCTTGGAAATCCTGTATAGGGTCACTATGAATCGGAAGCAACTCAACGCACAAAACCACCATAGTATGATGTGATAAAAATAACATTTTAGGAGAATAACAAAATGACAATAGATTCATTACTATGAAAATTAAAAACTAATTCTCAAATAGTATGTAATTAATGATCCCCACTTTGTTTAAAAATGTATATATCTTTAAATGTATAAATATAAATATGCATGTTGTTGTTGATAAGTGCCATCGAGTCGTTTCTGACATACAGCAACCCTGTATAGGGTTTCTGAGAAGGGGCTGATGGATTTGAACTGCTGAACTTGTGATTCAAACTGACTTTGTGGTCCAGTGCATTGTCCCACAGCCACACCAGGACCCCATAAATATGTATATTTGAGTATATATTCACAGCAAAACACCAGAAAATATGTTCGAAAATGTTAATAGTGCTTATGTTAGAGTGAGATTAGAGGTGATTTCTCTGTGTTTATTGCAGTTTTAATGTTTCACACTATACTTTTATATTCAGATACACAATGTTATTTTTCAGAGATCCAGCATATGGCATTCAAATGGAATATTGCATTTAGTTACAACTGAAATCTTTTAATGACTTTCTACCTCCCCTTTTTGTATGTGTGATGTAGCCTGCTAGCAAACATGGAAAATGCTGTTTACCCCAAGTCAAAATGTGTTTGCCCACTGCTTAAGACAATTCTCTATTTGAGTATAATTGTAAAGTGGTGTACTTCTGCCAACAGAAAGGTTTTAAAGGAGATACTCCAATTACCTATATTCGTGCAGAATTCAATCAGGTGGTTCTGGGAGACTCTGCAAAAATTTCTGTTTCTTCAGATGGAACTGCAAAATACAACTTCACTAGCAGCTTTGAATTCAATCCTGAAGGAGGAATCACTTTAGATGACCTCGCTCACAAACCTGTATTCTGTAAGTCCTCATTAGAAAAAAAAAAGTTAATTAATGACAAGCCTTAAGCTATGTAGTAGCCGTAATATGAAAGGGTTGAAGGTACTTTGCCTCCTTAATCTAGGAATAACCCAGTATGCTTTGTGCCCTACCTACTTCAGGCAGCATCACCACAATTTTAATCACTTTATGTCATGTCATTTTGACATGTGACTAAGCTTTGCAGCTCATATCCCCTCAAGCTCAAGTGAGAGAGAGATGAAGCTTTCTGCTGATACAAAGATTTATCACCTTGGAAACCCATACAAGGTCACTGTGAGTTGGAACTGACTTGATGACACAGATCCCCTCACGCTGAATTGTGAGCTCTTCCCTTGTATTCCGAGACTTATTATGCTTAGGTTGCTGGAGTCAGCTCCCTTCTACCAAAAACAACAACAACAACAAAACACTATATGGGACACACTTAAGCTAAACAATACTTCTTGTTACCCACAATTAAAATTTAATTGAAAATTCTGTATTTTATTTGGCAACTTTATCTGCACTTCCATATACTCAATGTACTACAGTTAGTTTTTGTTAAGTGCCATCCAGTCGATTCTGACTCACAGTGACATTATACGCAGCAGAATGAAACACTGCCCAGTCCTGCGCCGTCCTCACAATCATTGTTAAGCTTGAGCCCATCGCTGCTGCCCCTGTGCTAATCCATCTCATTAGGAGTCTTTCTCTTTTCACTGACCCTCCACTTTACCTCGCATAATGGCCTTCCCCAGGGCCTGGTCCCTCTGACAGTACGTCCCAAGTATGAGAGTCGATGTCTCTCCATCCTGTCTTCCGAGGAGCATTCTGGCTCTACTTCTTCCAACACAAATTGGTTTGTTCTTCTAGCAGTCCATGATACTTTTAATATTCTTCTCCAACACCATAACTCAGTTCTTTTATGATCTTCCTTATTTACTCTCCAACTTTTACATGCATATGAGGCTACTGAAATACCATGGCTTGGGTTGGGCACACCTTAGTCTTCAAACTGACATCTTTGTGCTTCAATGCTTTAAAGAGATGTTGTGTAGAGGATTTTTCTAATGCAGTACATTGTTTGATACCTTGACTGCTACTTCCATGGGTGTTGCTGGTTGGTCCAAGCAAAATGAAGTCTTTGACAACTTCACTCCTTTCTCCATTTATCTTGATGTTATTTATTGGTCCAGTTGGGGATGATTTCATTTTCTTTACATTGTGGTGCAACCCATACTGAAGGCTGTGGTCTTTGATCTTCATCAGTAAGTATTTTAAGTCCTTTTTGTTTCCAGCATCTTCATATCGTAGGTTGTTAATGAGACTTCCTCCAATCCTGATGCTGTGTTCTATTTCATATACTGCAGCTTCTTGAATTATTTGTTCAGCATACAGACTGAATAAATATGGTAAAAGAATACAATCCTGGTACACATCTTACATGATTTTAAACCTATCAGTGTTCTTTTCGAACGACTGCATCTTGCTCAATGTGCAGGATCCTTATGAGCACAGTTACATGTTCCCGAATACTCATTCTCCGCAACGTGGTCCATAGTTTGTCATGATCCACACAACTGAAAGCCTTTGCATAGTCAATAAAGCACTTGTAAACACTTTTCTGGTATTCTCTGCTCTCAGCCAAGGTCCATCTGCTGTCAGCAATGATATCCCTCATTTCACGTCCTTATCTGACTCTGGCTTGAACCTCTGGCAGTTCTCTGTCAGTGTAGTATTGCAGCTGTTTTTAAAATTATCTTTAGCAAAATTTTACTTGCATGTGATGTTAATGATACTGACGATGATTTCCGCATTCCGTTGGGTCACCGCTCTCTGGAATGGGCACAGATACGGTCAGTCTGTTGGCCAGATAGCTGTCTTCCAGATTTATTGGCATAGTTGAGTGAGTGCATTCGGTGCTGCCTGTTTGTTGAGATTTTCCGTTTGTAGTCTGTCAGTTCCCGGAGCCTGGTTCTTTGCCAATGCCTTCAGTGCAGCTTGGATTTTTTCCTTCAGTACCATTGGCTCTTGATCATAGGCTGTCTCTTGAAATGGGTGAACATTGACCATTTCATTTTTGTACAGTGACTCTGTGTATTTCTTAAATCTTCTTTTGATGACTTCTGCATCATTCAGTATTTGGCCCAAAGTATCCTTTACTATCACAAGTTGAGACTTGAGTTTTCCTTCGGTTCTTTCAGCTTGAGAAATACTGAGCATGTTCTTCCCTTTTGGTTTTCTAATTCCAGGTCTTTGCATATTTCATTATAATATTTGACTATCTTCTCTAGCTGCCCTTTGAAATTTTCTGTTCAGCTTTTTTACCTCCTCATTTCTTCCATTTGCTTTAGCATCTCTATGTTGGAGAGCAAATTTCAGAGTTTCTTCTGACATCCATTTTGATCTTTTTTATCTTACTTGTCTTTTTAATGACCTTTTGCTTTCTTTCTGTATGATGTTCTTGATGTCATCCCACAGTTCGTCTGGTCTTTGATAATTAGTGTCTAATGCATCAAACCTATTTTTGAGATGATCTCTAAATTTAGGCGGGTTGTGTTCAAGGTCATATGTTTGCTCTCATGTACTTGTTTTAATTTTCTTCAGCTTCAGCCTGAACTTGCATACGAACAATTGATGGTCTGTTCCACAGTCTCCCTCTGGCCTTGTTTTGGCTGATGATATGGAGCTTTTCTACCATCTCTTTCTACAGATGTAATCAATTTGATTTTTGTGTATTCCATCCAGTGAAGTCCATGTGGATAATCCTCTTTTATATTGTTTAAAAAACATATTTGTAATGAAGTCATTGTTGTTGTCAAGTGCCATTGAGTCAATTTCGACCCATAGTGACCCTATATAGGGTTTCCAAGTAATGATTGGTGAGCTTGAACCGCTGACTTTGTGATTCAAACAACTTTGCAGTCCAGTGCATTAACCCACAGCACCACATCAGGATGTGCAAAATT